GTCCCTGACCGGGGGGAGGGGGCGATGCCCCGACAAGGGGTCAGGTTTCCCCGACAAAAGCAAAGTGGGCGTGGTCGAGCTTTGATTAAAAGGTTTAGAAAGTGGTCCTGGGGGCGAAGCTCCCGAAAATTTTGACAATTTACGGGTTTCAAAGGCTTATTTAATCGATTTTATAGTCTACTAATATCTAGAAAATGCATATAATTTTTTTTCTCCCCGACGAATTGTGCTTTTTCTCCCCGACGGGGGTCCAGCTCTCCCTGACGGGGGGCCCTGGCTCCCGCTGGCGCCACCCCTGTACGGTGCACTAAAATACTTTTTGAAAGCATATTTCTAAAGCAAAACATTACTCCTATCATATTTCTAAAGAAAATAAAATATCGTTTTATTATTATAAATAAAAATAAAATATGTCAAAGTTGGCTCAACTATATTGTGCACGTTTTCGAATCACGTCAGTTCATCATACTTCATGAATAGGCCTACGTTTTACTTCACTGCAATGAGGTCATTGATTGTTCTATTGTTATCAATATTATACTTTATCAGAAATTTATTAAATTTTCAGTAGGTCCTAAACGATAAAATATAAGCCTATACGACTTTTTATATTATTCTTAATATCCTTGAATATGTTTTCGAATAGTTTATAAACATTTATGCTCGTTACAATGCCGTATATGTTTTAAACAATTTCAGAATGTATAAGCCTAAGTAGACCCCACTAAGGCTCTCTCTCTCTCTCTCTCTCTGGGTCCGATCACAGGCCTGTAGCCATGTTCTTCCAATAGGGGATTCTCTGGGTGAGGTCCAGGGTCAAATCCCAAGTGAGGTCGGCGAAACCACAGAAGCCAGAGGATTTGTGTTTTCTATGGGTCTAAATAATGCTATAAAAGCAGTTATGTTTGAAAGAGGTTTGCAGCAAAACATTTCATCCGAGGCTGGATATAGGTCTGCAGTGCTTTAGTTGGGTTGGAGGACTCGTTCGGGAAATTTGAGGGAGGGGGTCGCCAGAAAAGAGGGGGTTTGCTAGAAAAGGGGGTTTACCAGAACCATAACCCCCCACCCCCGGCTACGGGCCTGGAAAAGGTGCCTTTTAGGGCCAGAAAATGATCTTGCACTCTGGGACCCGTCACCACTTCGCTACGCCGCTGACGACGGGCAAGGTATAATTTATTAAAATAACGAGTATTAGGTTGATGACAGCGGTCCTTTCTACTTAGACCTGATTATTCTTATTAGGCCTACTCAATGTCTTGGTTTGAATGAACTTGACGTAATCGTGGGATGAAGAAATATCAACCATGGCTTCGACTTTGCAAAGCTCAAAAGACAACTTTCACCTTCTCCATTAATGGGCCAAAATATCTTGTTATAATCATCATTCTATTCACTAGGCGATGTTTAATAAACTAGTGGATCAGGTGTTCGTTGAATGATTTTATCATTGGAAACATTATTTTTAACTCTATGAGCTTTAGCCAATGTAGGCTTTTCACAATTATTAACAAAACTCAAAGTTTACTACCCATTTACATTGTTTCTAATAATAATAGATTATTTTAGGACCAACCTGATGTTCCACTTTTATCCATGGCCATCAGATTCTTCGCCTCCACGACAGAAACTGTAAGTTTCCTCTTTGGAATAACATAACGGAGGGAAAAGCAAACTTCTCCGTAACTGGGCGGAGCAAGTTTCTTCTGAAATACAATAAATATAGGCTATCTTAAACGAAGTGAGAAGTGAATCTCATTTATATTCATATTTCCTGCTAGAGACACTTTTTTTCATACAACTGAAAAAGGAACTGTTTGTTGAAGCACTATGCTTGATACGATTATAACATCTTATGGTTCAATTCGAGCACTGTTATTATTTATTTATTTGTTTACTTACACTGCGTTTACGGTACTACACAACAGCAAACATAATTTAAATATTATGTAGGGCCTATCGCCATACATAGACATGACATCCCGGTTGGGGAACCTATTTTTCACACTGACGGTATATATATTTATATATATATAGTTATATAT